AATCGGTCTTCAATTCGGTCTTCAGTGCTTCGAGACTTGACACTCCGTGAACTCTTTGTGCTCCCTTTTGTATCCCTTGTTCTGGTATGACTCTTTGTTGCGGTTGTTGTGGTTATTGTTCTTGTTCTTCTTCTTCTTTTTCTCGTCCCTCATCTTCTATTTCATCTTCATCTACCAAACTTTTCCCCTTCTTCTTTTTCTTTAAAGAATTTCTGGAACGAATTTCCATTTCATGGATTTTTTTTCCAGTATATGCTCTCCGGATTCTTCTCAAGATATTGCATCCATACTTTAACCGTTGGATCTTCACTTCCATCGAGATCCTTTAGATAAAAAAGAAGAGCTTCTTATGTCGCTTCCTTCTTAAGAATGCTCTTAATTCCCTGAAAAATAGATGAGAATTATTGTTACTATATGCATCATGTGACAATGTGACTGAGTCACATGGTCCCATGTGACCGAGTTACACGGTACCATGGGACCGAGTTAAATAGTACCATGTGACCAAATAGGTTATGGTACCATGTGACCATAAAACCTGTGACCAACACATCATGTCCTATTTTTTGCGTACCGTTGCTTTAGTACCAATCTGGTCTATAACAGTGTTGAAACTCCATCTGACATTTGCTTTGACGGATTTCTTGCACATTCTGGGATACGTCGGATCCGCTCCCTCGACGTCTTTGTACATCCCATTGGCACCTAAATTTGAGATGCATTCGAAAGGAAGCAACTATATCATATTGTGTAAATATTAAATTCCAAAACAAATCAATATAATAACGGTACTTTTCATTTATACACATAGTGAAAAACCCTTACCATAAGAGGGATTATAAACCCTCGACAGTGCCATTTCTTCTTCGGCCCTCCACTTCCGAAGCTCGCTCTTACTTGATGTAGAAGCTATTTTTTCCTTCTTTGTGCTTCGAATCCGAAGAGAGTAAAGAGAGAGACGTACAAGAGAAAAATCGCGGCTTAAATCCAGGTATTTTCGGCAAAAAACCGACAGTTTCGAAAGACAGACAGAGGAGAGAGAGAGAGGAAAATTCGAGAGTTAGGAGAGAGAGAGAAATGTCGAGAGTGAGGAGAGAGACAGAACGTAGGCTGATGTACGAGGGAGAAAGAGAGAACCGTTTTTTATTTAAATTTAAAATGAGTTTTTTCATCTTTTAATAAAAGTCTGAGAGTATAATAGGTCTTTGCATCACTTCTCCCTATTTTTTTTAATTTGGATTTTCAAAGGTATAAGAAGAAGTCCTTATTGTAGTCAAAGGGTAGATTGGATATATCCCCTACGAACGATCTTGAAGGCAATAGTTGACTTAGAGAGCGTGATATGCACACGCAGAAAAAGCGAGTGGGAGTTGTTTTTTAAAGGTAAAAACAGAGGGCTCATCAAGTTCCAATAACTCGGGCCGGCAGAGGGCCCCACAAATTTTATGAAAAATTCAACGCTCTAGATAAGCATAGACCTGTCATTGTACACGTGTCTCTCTCCGCTTATCGACGTCACTGTCCCTCCTCCACCCATTTTTGAATTTAATATTTCTCTTTCCAAAACCTTTCTCAAAAACAAAATTAAAATACATTAATTTCCTTCTAACTAATGTGAAAGAAAAACATTTAGTACCAATTTTTATTTTGAGTTAAAATTTAATTTTAATTTTTATAAATTTAAAATTATTTTTTTAATTGTTTAATTGATTTTTTCATCTAAATAATTTTTCAAATTTTATAAAAACTTGATTATTATTATTTTTTTATTTTAGGATTTTAAAACTCCGAAAACCTTTTTACCTTTCCACACAGTTCATCCATCCATATTTCTTGAGACCAAATGGCCATATAAAACGAAACTTCCTATCCTCGATCTCATCAAAGAAATCGTTTTACACGAACCATTAAAACATCAGAAAATCATATGGCCTTGTTGTGTATTCTACTCCAAAACTAGGAAAGGGGAAAAAATGAAAACGTAAAAAAAAACCCCCCAAATATGAAATATGAACAAAACGGAAGATTAAGAAGAAGTAAAATAGTCTCTCCTTCATCTCGCATGTCTTAAGCTCCGAAGTTGTGGCAGCAACTTACTTCACAAAAGCTTCCATTCTGCGACATGTGGACAGAATCAGGAGCTGGTTAGTCAACGTGAGACATTAGCCATCATCTACACCCTTCCTCCATATTTGTAATCGCCATGGAAACAGTGAGTGAAGCTAGTTTGCAGGCTGAAGTTTTCTCCAATGGAGTTTTACCTAGAAACCTACAGGAAACACAATGTTGGCGTGGAACAAACAAGAGGGTTTTTTCCCGACACCAAATCCAGAGACCAACAATGTTCCGACATCGATTGAGACAGAGCTAAGATCACCAACACAGAATAAGCGTTTCCAAGAACCCATACTGGATCTGTAGAAGATCGTTCCATCTTCTAAAGCTACACAAACAATACGCATACGGATCGAAGAAACAGAAAAGGGAACTTCAGCATAAGTTACCTGGAATTTCCTTGCCGGGGGAAGACGGAGGAGCCAAGGCGTAACAGAGGACGGACCTTCCGGCCATGGAGATGGCGGATACGATCCCGGCGACATAGAAGACCATGATCAAACCCAGAACCCAAGGCATCAACAGAAACCCTATGAAGAAAGTCACAGATCCGCAGAACATCAGAGCCACCGATATCCCTAGCAGCAGCGATGCAAATCCCGCCGGAGAAATCTGGTTCGTCGCCGATGACGACGGCGGCGGACGTCTTCCCGTCAGCTGATTTGGGCTTTCCGGCAACTGATCGGGAAACGTCATGGGCATCGGCGGAGACCGGAGGAGACTCAGGACAAGAGCCGAGAGCTCGTAGAAAACCCTAGATTGCTGATCTCGCTGGTGCTGTTGCCTTCTCATCTTCAATGGAATACCCAATAATTTTCTCTGGAGAATTCCGAAAGAAGAAATCTTTGTATATAAGACTTGGATTTTAAGTTAAATCTTCGCCAAAATCGAGGCAAATGGATAAACTGGGGTGACAGAGACCCGTCTAGATTTATCCAAAGCCGCCGATTGATTGGATACAGATTTAATGTTCCTTGCCAAATGGGGGAAGTTGGATACCGGGAAAATGTCTGTTTGTGTCTCGGGAAAATTAAAAAGGAAATCACAACTGGGGCAGGGGAAGGCAGATATCAAAATCCTTCGCCGTTTTCTCTGTTTCCCCCTTGTCCTTGGTTGTCACTTTGTAATGAGAAACAGAAAAACGGGAAAACGGCTGGGATAAAAATGGAGAAAACAGTGGAAGTATCCAAAATTTATAATTTACAATTCTCATTTTAATATTTTGATTTTATATACATTTCCTTACCCAAAACAAATGATTTTATAAAATGGATATATTTATTTCTTTTAATATATCCTGTATTATAAATATATAGTTTTTTATTCTTTCCAAACATTGATGATCGAATGACGTGATATTTGTAACCATTTATTCTTATACCAAGATAATCTCTAACTTTCAAAATATTTGTGTGCTGCGTAAAACGAATAAATAATTTGAAATTAGTTGGTTTAAAGTATTGATTAGTTCATAATTTTAAAATTAATGATAACGTAAATCATTCTTTCATACAAGATATCTATATAGTCACTTAAATACCGTATATTTATAACCCAACAATTGATGATATAGTGGTGAGAGGTGACAAAGACATCCTCAAGTTCATGAGTTCGATTCTACTGTGGAGTATGGATGTAATTTCTGGACTAAAATGGTCCATATATAAAGGTTGATCTCGGG